GTGTTTCTTGGAGAAAAACAATCAAAATCAGTAAAAATAACGCATTTTTTTACCTATTTTTGTCTTACTTTAGGAAAGAAAAGAAATAAACCTATTTAGTCATAATTCAACAAAATTTTCTATTTTATTTTTGGTAAAATAATTTGTTGAGAAAGTTTGTCAGTGAGAAACACTTCTAATTTTGCAATTTTCTGTTTGATTTTGAGAAAATAATTCGAATTTTGCGTATTTTTTTTTTGAAAAAACGAATTGAAAACGAAAGATTTTTAAGCCGTTTGACAATTTTTTAATCCGTTTGACATTTTTTTTTAATTTTGTAAGAAACACTTAAATTTACGTAAAATACTCAGTTTTTCTCTAATTTTTTATTTTTTTTGCATTGTTTTAGCAAAATCATCAATATTTATAGAAAATAATGCATTTCAGACCTAACATGTCAAATTTTAAATTAAGTTACATACTTATCTGAATTATAATTGATATTTTCTGAATTACATATAACATGAATTACATCTGATGGTTTCTGAGTTACTCTTGAAAAAGGTGTAAAATTCTCTATAATGCATAGTTTTTGAGATATTGAGTAATAAAGTAAATAAAGTAATAAGATAAAAATATGTAAAGTCTTCCGGGGAATAGATTGGCGTCAAGACAACTGCAAAATTCGCAATAGTTTTGAAGTTATACTTAGTCGTAATTATTTTTTTTTTTTTGATATTTTTCACTTTATCAGAAATTTTCTCGATAACTATTTATCGTAGAACACTGATCTTTTTTATGTGTGATAGAAAATTAAATTTTCTATCCAACGGTACCAAATATGAGAAGTTACCTCTAATAAGTCCGGAGTTATTGCCATTAAACCGCTCGGGGTGCCAAAAATCGACCAAAATCTCGACAAAAAAAAAACTTTAAATTTTTTACATTTCTAGAGATGTTAAAGACTCAAAAAAGTGCATAAAATGTATTTGGGTCAAGTTTAAAAACACTGACCAAGAAATAAAAATTTTTTGATTTTTATAAAAATAATTTTAAAATAAATAAATTACCTTGACGTAGGCCGTAGTATGGGGCAATAACTGTGTATTAGCTGTGGGTCGTAGAAAAAGTGCATAAAATCCAGCTAAACCAAAAAGTTCGCATCTAAGTGTAAACACCCTCTTCCCTCCAAACCCCCTCACTTGATCCAAAACCTATACACAACAATCCAATTAATATGACAAGCATTCCCCCTCCACACTCACCTGAACATTTGAATTATTCTGTCTGTTATCATCATTATCACAGGTAAGCAACGAATGGCCACAATAATGTAACTCTAACCAAAACTCCGGTATGGCACTAACCGGACTATCGGCCACCGGAGGACACACCACTTCCGGAAACTCGAGAATGGCCATCACTGGCGTTTCCGGGTAAGTCTGTATATGTTCCGGGGTCACAGACAGTTGAGGCATTGGCCACCGAACATCCAAACTTCTTGTGATTACGGAATTCGAGTCCTCAACACTCGAATTTCCAATTGGTTGTTTCTTGAGGAGGATGTAGTATTGGCCACCTTTTGAAAAATATCCACAAGGGATTTTCACTATTGTCGTGTTGAGGGAAAGAGCCCGAGCTTCGGGGAAAACGGGAAAAGTGGTTAGGGGTTGGGCGATGTTGCCTTCGAGTCGAGATAATTGCAGCATTAGTGGTGGAAAAGACGATGAAGTAATTTGGATGTGGAGGTCGCCGCTCAAGGCGATGTGGGAAGGCGGCATCGATAATTCTATTCCGGGGATGCTTCCTCCTGAAACGAAGACAATGAGCTTTCAGGAGTGATAAAAGCCGCAAAATGCACAGAAAGTGGGGCTATTGGAGGTGGGCAAAAGTGTTTAAAGCACTCTTAGCTTCGTTCGTTCGTGCTCCAATTTTGTTAATTAACAAACAAAATTATTTTTTAGTTTTAATCTTGTTAATGAGTACTAAAATATCATATTTTGTTGTGACTGTTATAGTTGTGCAAATAGTTAAAGCACTCTCCGCTTCGTTTGCTCGTGTTTAAATTTTGGAAAATTATAGTTTTTGCTATTTTTGCCACATTTATTGACTTTTTTAACAAAAAATGATACAATTATATAAAAAAGAGGTTGGTTTTTACATACAGGGTGCGCCAGAACTCGCGCCCCAGAGAAAATTTTCAAGTAAGGTAAGATACCAGGAACATGAAAAATATGTTTAAAAAATTCTATCGACATTTATTTTTTGACATTTGACATTTTTTATATCTATTTAAGGATACTGATGATCTTGTATGTTTTTTTATAATTACTAACTAAAGGTACAAAAATTTTGTCAATAAAAGCCACAAAAAACTTTGAACAGAGTTTAATAGCCTAGAGCAAAAAAACTTGGAAAATTATTTTTCCAACAGAAATAAATAGAGTCAAAGTGCAAACTTTAAACCCTCAAAACTTTGAAATTTTTATAGATATTTTTTTTAACATTTTTTCCATGTTCCTGGTATCTTACCTTATATGGCATTTTTCTCTGGGGCGCGAGTTCTGGCGCATCCTGTATACAGCACAATCAATTTTCCAGGTCTTTTCCATTGCAAAGTAATTTCGATAACTGTTTTGTTTGAAATTTTTTTATCCTTTGTTCTTTTTAATAATGTTTCTTCTTACTAAAAATAATACAATCTGCGACTACGTTATTTTATGTTCATTTTTTGTTTCGTTTTTAAGGATAACAAAACTTATTTTTTTAAGTGCATAAATTGCAATTTACAACTATCTAAAAAAATTGATTTTTGTTCAATTTTTTTATTTTATTTTTTAAAAATCTTAAAATTTTAAAAATGTGAGTAATTTTTTCTTAACAGACCATAAGAAAAAAAAGTTTCTTTGTAAAAATGCTCTGGATTTATAAAAATAACCCATTTTCAAGCGTAATTTTGCAATTTTTTTACTCTATTTTAACATTTTTTTTAGTTTTATGAATAAGTTTCTCGCTAAACTTATGA